CATATCTTGTACAACCTAGGTGGGTCAGTGATTGGGCCCTGACCTCATCATCCTTGGCTGTGTGCAAGTGGGGGTCATGGTGCAAAGTTGTAAAGGTTCGCTCAAATGTTTTTCTTTCACATATTTTCCTTAGCAGCTACACTTATTATCTTTGGAATATGGTACACTCATTCTCAGTTGAGAACACCAACAGATTTGCCATGCTTGCGACAAGTTGCTTAGAATAATGTTTTTGCATACATTTAATGTAGAAAATACCTCTCTGCAGCTGCAACTGTTACAGGGATGGTTAGAACAAGTAGGCAGGCAGTACAAACTTCAGTAAAACTTGAAGACACGGCATGCTTTTTCTATTCTATTTTATTCATGCACTACCCACACTCCGTCAGTAGAACCAACTGACTGCTCTGATCTTTCTTGCCAATATCTTCTATGCATAACCAGAGGAAAAACTGGAACTTTCATGACATTTTTATAAACATATTTTATAATTGCATCCTAGGCAGAATTAGAAAGAAAGTTCACTCTATATGTTGGATACTTGATTGTTTCATATTTCACATTTAACAACATGTCTAGAAGATCCAACAAATCATATTTTATAAGAAGACTGATTATAGAGAGTAAATTTTCACAGAATCCATGTGAAATATATTATTCTGTCTATAATTTCTAAGGAAAAGGAAAGGGGTCTCTGCGGATTTTACTCCATGAATCATAACCAAATATAAAGGGTGGCACTCATTTCCGTTTCAAGAGCGGTTGAGCTAGAGCTGTCCAAGGCATTTCTGTGATCATGAGGCCAGCATGACATCACGGAGCACTGTTTCCTCCCCACTGAAGCGGTAACCTCTAAAGAGAAAGTTAAAACGAGACGAGATCACTGTGACACTGATCATTCTATCATTCTACCTGCCTCTAAAAGCTTTGAGCAATCTGTTCTAGGTTCTATCTTCTTGGGCAGCATCGCTTGCAAATCAGCAGCAACAAGGATCTGATGCTTCAAGAATCTATTTTTTTTTCTTTTTAAGTGAGGTTAGCCACAAGCATTAATCATCTAATCACTCATTCTGTTTCCTAGTTGAAAAAGCCAATGTGCTGGGTGGTGCATTTAATCACAAGTCGAAGAGCAGACTTGCACCCCAGATTTGTTTTGTGGTTATATAATCAGACTGCTAGAAGTTTCTCTCCCTTGGAGATGGACCAGGTGGATGGTCTATTTATGAAATGCCCAACAGCCACAGATTCATTAAAATGAGCTCCATCTGTAGAAAACAAGGTAGCATCAGCATCACTGCTGTCCTCTTGGCCTTTTACTGAAGAGGCATGTACTTTGTTTTGGTCAGTAACAGATGGTGTAAGTAGTTGTCTGTGATTCAAAGGGTCCCTTTGGTCTGTAGGAAAATCTCGGGTGGTCAAAGTGCCACTGAGTGAGTGCTTTGTTTCATTTTATTCCTGATCACAATGATTACCATCTTCTGTTCTTGGACTTTATATTTTCCTCACAGTGATTTCAGAAAAACAAACTAACCTTGGGGAGTTCTGCTGGTTTCTCTTCCTTCCTGTTTTCTGTTTTCACTTATGAGCACCACTATAAAAATTTTGCGCCTTTTTCCCACTGCTGCTTGAAGTTGTCATTTTAAAGTGGTCTAGATGACCATCCTTGAGTGTCTCAGAATGGAAGGTTTCTAATCCAACCCTCAAAACCTTGAAGGAAGTTTATTAATGGCATGTTGTTCTATGCCACAGCCAGTAAACTATTTATATATTATATTATATTATATTATATTATATTATATTATATTATATTATATTATATTATATTATATTATATTATATTATATTATATTATATTATATTATATTATATTATATTATATTATATTATATTATATTATATTATTATATTATATTATAATATTACATTACAATACTATACTATACTATACTATACTATACTATACTATACTATACTATACTATACTATACTATACTATACTATACTATACTATACTATTATATTATATTATATTATATTATATTATTGTTTTACATTGGATGGTTGCATGTTTTTCAATCCCAGTCAAACGTTTATTTAATAATTTATGGTTAAACAACTCATGGCTTAATGTAATTTATGTTAAATGCAGCCAAATTAAGAAAAAAGCCTCTGGTGTGGGTGGGTGTACTTGTAGACATAAAATACCCAGAAGATGTAGGAGCAAATGGACCCCTTAGTCCCCCAGAAGAAAGCTAGCTTCAAGATAAGGTAAAGCTTATTCCTGTTCCAAAGATATAATCATACAATTGTACTAAGAAAAAAATTAAAAATGAATTATAAGGACAACACGAATAAGTTGATAGTTGTGAGAATGAGCACCTTCCTTTGCTTACATCAAATGAGAATACATTTATCAATTGGAGTTTAAAATTTTGTCAGGGGAGGTGAACATGGCACATTTACATAGACTATGGCTTTTATTAAATATTAGAATTTTATCACAATTTTCCTCACATTGAGGAAAAACAGTATGAAAGGCATTGACTGGAAAAATCTGAATTTCTCCGGTTTGGTAGATGTTCATGAAAATTGGAAATTGTACCTTTTTCTGTCAGCTAATGGAAAAAAATCTATACCAATCTTCTTTGATGACCTTTAATAAAGTCAGAACATTATTCTTTATAGAAGGTAATCAAGAGTTTACTGCATTGGTTTAGTGACCTCTTTAACACTGTTAAAAGAATTCCAGCTGATGACTGTAGAACTTGTCCTAGAGTTTTTTTGTTTTTTTTAAAAAAAAAGCTAAACAGAAATATACATGAAAATATTAAAGCACTTTTCATATTTTTAAAAAAAATCCAATACTGTAGCTTTCAATATTTATCCTTCAACTTCTCTATGCTACTTGTTGACACACGGTTACATATTTCTATATTTACGTGCAGTTTGTTTCTTTTTTAAAAAAGGAAAGGATTGTAAAATGTTGCCTACAGATCTGCATTTCTTATAGGTGCCAATATACACTACAAACTTGCATGCACACATAAAAGAAAAAATGAGAAGAAGAATCTGCCATGCTATATTTCACATTCTTTTTAAACAAACATAATACAGTTACCAGAAAGAGACTGTAACAGGCTCTGATAAGATCCTATTGCAAAATATTTTAAATTATCAAAATGCTTTCTGAGTCAAAAATCCTGCTTTTGTCTGGCACTTTTTCCTGTGCTCTTACTCTAATGATACACGTTCAATTACTGCTGAAAAGAAAAGAATCAAATCAGAAACCTGTAGTTTGCCATATAATTACTGATTCTTCCCCATGGTGACTGACCTTTGTAAGACCGATACCAAGACCTGAAAGGCTAAAATGATAGATATTCACAAGGTTTAAAACATATAACACAATTACAAAGACTTAAAGCGGGCATGACATAAGCGTGGACCTTATGTTCTTGCATTTTATGTCTGAACCCAGAATGTAGTAGCTGGATTTATTCAGAATGAGGGTAATTCACAAGCCACTGAAATGCAATGTTTTGTTGTACAATAAAGGTAAACACCACATTTGAGCCCATTATACAGCTATTACTTTTACCTGTAATATCAATCTTTTCTAGGAAGTTTTTTTGGTTACTCTCATCTTCCCACCAGCTTGTGATTTTTGTATGTGAATACAAACAATAATGAAACACATTTCAAACTCACAGTGATCAGACCACTTTGTTTTCTTTTCAAGTCCCATTCCCTTTACTTTTTCATTTTTTGTCATCTCTTATTTATTGATCTAAACTGTCCATTACAGTTCATTACAAAGGATCCTACTGTGAACTTTAGTAAAATACGCTGTTACTCTCTGTTTATTTGCCAGAGAAAACAGCAACTTTATCTTGAGGCTCTGTATTTAAAGTCAGCAAAAACTTGCCAGCAAAACATAACCAACTTGGCTATTAATCCCAAGAGAATACACAAAGGCACAGGCACAGACACACAGACAAACTAGATCTAGATAATTATTTTAAATCACTGCCTCTCTTTTAATGATAGCAATAGCAATAGCACTTAGACTTACATACTAGTCCATAGTGCTTTACAGCACTCTCTGAGCAGTTTACAATGTTGGTATATTGCCCCCAACAATCTGGGTCTTCATTTTACCGACCTCGGAAGGAGGGAAGGTTGAGGTAACCTTGAGCCAGTCAGGACTGAACTCCTGGCTGTTGGCAGAGTTATACTGCAATACTGTATTCTAATCACTGCCCCACCAGGGCTCTTAAAATGATAAAATTCTATTAAAGTAATCGATCAAGGATTGCTTATGAGTACTATGTAAATGAGTCTACAGATAGTCCTTGACTTATGATCATTTGTTAACAAACATTTGACGTTACGATGGTGTTGAAAAAAAGTGATTTACAACTGGTTCTTGCATTTACAACCATCAAAGTGTCCGTTGGTCACATGATCAAAATTTGGGTGCTTGGCAACCTGTATATATTTACAATAGTTGTAGTTCCCAGAGTCATGTAATCATCATTTGAGATCTTCCAGAGGTTTCCAATAAGCAAAGTCAATGGTGGAAGCTGGATTTGCTTAATGATTGTGTGATTTGCTTAATGACCACAGCAAAAAAAGATCATAAAATGGGGCAAGACTCACTTAACAACAGCATCCCTGAGCAATGGAAGTCCCGGTCCCATTTTTGGTTGTAAGTCGAGGACTATTTGTAAATTCTAATGGTTTGTTTCCTATGGCCTTTGCTGAACACATCACCACCTTCCGTTTCCAAAATTATTTCCTTCAGCAGAAAAAATTATCATAAAACCCAACAAACCCTTTTCTTAGTAAGAGACTTTCCTTCTAAAACATGGATTAATCTGTTTCTTCTTTGCTAACAAATTACAGATATATTTCTAAGTCTTTATTCTTCTATGCAAAAATATATGTAACATGTTTTACAGAATATTATTTTCTGTACTCTCTATATTCTGAATGTTTACCTTGCTTTTCTGGGCTATTTTTCGCTCGTGAATTATAGGAGGTTTTATCACTACAGGAAAATGATCTGTCTTCACAATCATCTACAAAGTCTTTGAACACTGGAGAAGTCTAAAACAAAAGAAATAAAACAGTATTTAAAAAATTATTCCAATACTTTTGCATAATTACAATAGTAAATGCAAATTCTGAAATGAGCTTCTCTCAGCTCCTGCCTTAATATATATTGAAACTAATTAACCAATAGACATTGTATTGGTTTCACATTTTTATTTGTGTGAGAATTCTGAAAATTAAGATCTCATTATTACTGTTCGTTCGGAAAGTCTACAAGTCCCTCAGATCAATTGCTCATCAAAGACCTAATATGACCAACATTCATTAGTTTTAGGCCGGTGCAAATTGTTTGCCAAAGCATGCCTCACAATCCATTCCTCAATGTTGTGAAGAAGCTCAGAGATCCTCCTGAAGAATTGCTTTGGCCTGTGCAGTATATTCACAAAGCACTTGAACAATGTGCATAGAACTATTCCAGAACTGTAAAACACTTGTTACTAATTGATATCAATGTCTGAGTCTGAACATTCAAGAGATGCTTGGATTATTCTGGTTTCCAGATGTTAGTAATAGCCCTAGAACAAACATGTCAAACTCGTGACGTCACATGACGTCACGCAACGTATCGGAGCTTTTTTGCCATTGCCGGCAATGGGGTGGGTGCGGCTCCGGTATGATGAAACCAGCCCACGGGCCGGCAGTTTGACACCCCTGCCCTAGAAAAAGCAAAAACTAACCATTTCTGATAAAAGAGATGTAAGCAAATACAGCCATTTACTACCTCAACAAGATCTTCTTCAAAATGGATACAGTTCTGGAGTAAAGTATTAGCCCCCTTGTATTTTCTGAATTGTGGCATATTATTGCAGAATGCCACCAAAATGATTGCAGCACTAATGATGTTACTAGTTGGGTAATAACACGTTTATCTCCCAGATAAACCAGACAGGAAACACAACTAGATGAGCTAATTCTTACTTATTATAAGGCTACGTTGATAAAATCTTGCACGTATGAAGGTATAAACTTTCCACTGCCACTTTTATCCCTCTGAACAATAAGGGTGGAGCCTTCCTAAGCCTTCCTCTCTTGTCTGATTGTTTCTTAGGCAGCATCTCTCTCCCTCATCCCCCAAGATCACCCACACATTCCATTATATGTCTGCAAACAAACAACCAAGCTTAGAGAGCACCAAGAACTCCAATGAATGTTATAAGGATCTTATTGATAAATAAAAGGAGTGACTTGAGCAAATTAGAGTAAAGTTTGCTGCTTGTTTTATTTATCTCATAAAAAAGTCATCTACTGAGCAATGTGCCTGTATGAAAAAAAACAACTGTTCAATCAATGCCATTAAAATGATAACTGGGGCAGGTGTGGGTATTTTTTTAAACAATGAGGGCAAAGACAATCTTGCCTGATATCAATCTCTCAAAATCTGGCTCCTTTCACCCCAATGATGTACTCATACCCCACCCAAAATGAATTTCTGAAGATTCACATTAAAAAAGTATATGATGCCTAATTGTCTTGAAATAGATACAGTCTTATTTCAAAAGTTCTGGGACTTAATTGGTCCAGGAAAGTGGAGATTTAAAATAATGAATCTTCTCAAGAATAGCTATCCTGTCAAAATCATTCCAAAAGAATAGACAAAGTCCACAAGGAACTTCAGAACTTCCAGAGATCAACAGGGTCCTTTTATCCTGGCTGAAGTTAATATTTATGATTTCACTATGAGAAAAGCACCACATATAAAAGAATTCATGAGAGAATAAGAAAGGGAAAACCATTATTCACTAAGAACATTGTCTCAAATTTTCTAAAAATGTGCCTGAATGATTCACCAGGCTTCTGTGAGAAATTTCTATGGAAAAATAAGTCAAAAATAGAACTTTTCAGACTCTAGGTGTATCATTATGTCTGGCAGAAACCAAGCATGAATTTCATTATAAAATTTCCAACAAATTCATAAGAATGGTCAAAAATGGAAGTGTCATGGAACAGGGATATTTTGCTTTCTCAGACAATTTGACATTAGCAAAAACATGAAGTCAGCTTTTCATTAGATTATTTTATAAGATAATATCTGTTTGCCCACTGAAACTGAAACAGAAGTGGCTCATGCACCAATTCGGTGACTACTAACATGCAAACAAAGGAATGAGGAAGTTTTGGGTTTTTTGAAACAGCCAAATCAATGTCCAGAACTTAAATCTCAGAGAAACGCTGTCAGGACCTGAAATACGTTTGTTAGAAAATTCTTAAAAGTTCCTGAGGTAAAGAAGTTTGCCACAGAACGGGACAACATTGCTAAATAGTGATGTAAGAGACCTATCAATAAAGACAGAAAATGTTACAGTGTTGCATTTATTACAGCCTAAGATGATGCGATACAACCACTTACTGAACCTAAGAGGGAAATTATGTTTTATTTTTATTTTTTCCTGTTTATTATATTGTTATAAATCTTGATACACTGTATTATTTTAATAAAATAATTTTATATTACTGTTTAATATAATGAGAGATTATTGACATTCTATTAGATAACTCAGAACATTGCAAATAGACAACAAGAAAATATTCTACCATTATTAATTACAATTTAGGATCTCAATATTAGAAGCCTTAAAATGATTTGGCTTTTTCATGCAAAGTTGAATGTAACATTAAGAAAACTTGCTGCAACTCACATCAAAGTATTTTGTTAAAAGATTTTCTGGGTAGTTATGTTTTCACTTCAGCATCTCATATGTCAGATAACTTTATGAATTAAACATAATAAAGACCAATCTGAAACGCTAATAACATTCAGTGACGAGAATATGAAAAAATGTAAACAATCCAAAAGAGGGAAGTATTTTTTCACAAAGCTATATGAAATAAGATTTATTCATCTCCTTAAGTTTTAGAAATTGTTTTATACCTTGCTTCAAATTAATGCATGTAGACATTCTGACTGGTTATTGACTAGTAATCAGGACATACATCTTTCAGAAAATAATCAAAAAAGTCTTTTCAGCAAGCACATAATATGATCTATATGTAAAAATATTACTATACATACATAAATACAATTTCTTCATCTGCAAATCATTCACCAGGTGTCATTCCCTGGCATTACCCAAACACGCAAGAAGTAACATACTGACCGGGCTTTCTTCTTTATGATTCTCCAAAATCAATAGGGTACCAAATATGTCTTTCACTTCTTGTCTGAGTAAAATGTGGTGCTTTTGCAAGAATAAGATATGTTTGCTTAAACGTTCCCAAATCTTAGTAAAATAAGAAGCCAATTCAGATCTAGATAAAACAGAAAAAAGTTTTCATTTAAAATGCTCGGTTGACATGAGATATTGTTTATATAGAACTGAAATATGGAATAATATATGGAATCAGCCCAGTCGGGCGTCCCCCCCCCAGTATACGCATAAGAGGTAGCAAGCATGTGGGGGCCGACAGTGTCCGGCAGCAGCCGTAGCCCATTGGCCTCTTTGCTGGCGCACTCTCGGGCTGCGCATCCTGTGAGTTGATTACTGTCCAAGCAGCAGGCGGAGGCAGATACGCAGGGGGGAAGGTAGGCAATTCGGATGCGCTGCATGGGCATCTTGCTCACGGGAAGCTCATGCAGCAGCATCGGCAGCAAGCAGAGCCAGAGGCACAGGGGGGAGGCAGGCGATCCGGATGCGCCACGTGGCTGCCTGGCTCATGGGAGGGTCACACGGTGGCATCAGCAGCAGACAGAGGCACAGGAGAAAGGGTAGGGGATCCTGATGTACCGTGCGGTCACCTGCCTCAGCACAGCCATGGGAAGCTGAAAGGCCTCCCCGTGACTCTGCCGACTGCCGCCGCCACCGTGTGAGCCTCCCACAAGCCAGGCAGCTGCACAATGCATCCAGATCTACTGCCTCCCGCCCGTGCCTCTGCTTAGCCTGCTGCTGGTGCCGTCGCATAAGCGTCCTGCGAGCCAGGTGGCCACGAAGCATATCCGGATCATCTGCCTCCCCCCACGCCTCTGCTTGGAGGGATGGCCTGGTGGTCATAGTGCTTGGACTTACCTGCGCTGCACGGGCTATGGCTGTTGTTGGATACTATTGGCCCCTACTGGTCACGCCCAACCCTAGGCTTATTTTTGGGGTAGGGCTTATTTTAGGAGCATGCTAAAAATGAGGCTAGGGCTTATTTTCTGGTTGGGTCTTATTTTCGGGAAACACGGTTTTTATAGACTGATTAGGTCATTGAGATGTTTGTGCTTTTACTGTGTGTTTTATTTTATTTTTTGCTATCTTTGTGTTGTGTTATGGTGTAAATTGCCAAGATTCACTTTCTGAGTTTGGCAGAATATAAATACAATGCACACAAAAAAGGCCATGGTTAGCAAAAACTAAACTGAGAGTTTTACCATTCACTTAATAGCTATGTAATCCAGTTATGCAATTAGTAGTTGATTTATTGTATCTTCTGGTGTCTTCTCAAGAGTCTTAGCCTTTCAAGGCAGTCCAGACCAGAAGCACAACCAGGAGCATCAGCATGATCTTTACTGTAAGGTTACATTGAACAGAATCTTACAAGACTGAGAATATTTCTCCCATCCTCTCTTTTTAGTCACCAGAAAACTAAAGGGGGTCATCCCTTTTGAAAAATGTCTCATGTTTTCCCCCCACCTGCAGACTGAGCTGCCTCTTGTCAGATGTTGTCCAAGCTGCGGATCTTCCTCCTGTCTCCCAAGGTCATTCCCACATACCATCACATCTGAGAACATTATTCATTAAGATATTTTGACATATTATTTTGGATTCAATATATAATTCAAATGACTAGAAATATCATATTTTATCCTAAAAAAGTTGAACAATTTTTAAAGAAGTGAAATAGCTGGGAATTGAAACTGGTTCTTATAGAACGTTCAGGCAGAAGCAAATACATAGGAAAATGCATTCAAATTCAGGAACATGGATAGTCAGTGGGGAAACTGGCAGGAAATTGTAAATCCCAGTCATGTGACATCGTGCTTAACAACCAAAAACAAATTGCTTAAGAACCACAACCAGAATTGGCATGGTCCCATGATTTTTGACTTTATGACTACAATGGAGTTCCTGGTCCCAGTTACGGTCATATCTGTACTTTCAAGTAAATTATCAACTAAAGCTTGAGTAGATAATCAAGAAATGAAAATGCCTATAATTTTGAAATCTGAACACATAGTAAACCAATTAGGGCAGAATCTCAGAAATATTTATTATTCATCAAATGTATATGATTGTCCATCTCATAGAAAGCAACTCTTGGCAGCATACAACAATCCAAATTTACTTCCCTCAGCTCCCACCTGTGGGCTGTGTTATCTCTTGTCATGCACACTGAACGTCTGCCAGGTCTGTTTCTCACAATCTCTCACATGAGTCTATTTGAGGAGAACTATATGTGCAATAATGTATTTGAGGGAGTTTTCCGTATTAAGAATAGTGAGCTAGTAATAGATTAGGTATATGTGTATGTGTGTTTACCTATGCACATGCTGACAGATGCACTGCCAAAAGCCTAAATGAACACTTTATGTATTCTCAGACACCTAAAAGCTGCCTAGCCCTGGTCTTAGCTATTGCTCTTTGCTTATTATCTAGGCTTTTCTTTTTCGTATTCATCTCTTTCCTTTCAAAGTTCCTATTCTATACATTCTTACCTGGGAATAAGTCAGTGAGACTTATATCAAAGTAAACATGTACAGGATTGTCCTATAAAACATATTTATTTCTATATTTTGAATAGTTAAACTATAACCTGATGCATGCAACTCTCTTGAAGTGCTTTGATTTCGTATCATATACAGCATGTGATTTATACGAATGATGACTGTGAACATTAAGTGACCATACCTGCTTTGTTCTTCATTCAGTCTTTCCCTTTTGTCATTAAACATTCTATCTTGTAAAAGGCATCCATTCATTGTAGTTTGCAATAATTTCTGAAGTTGATAAAGGACCAGTGCTTCACATGCATCAAAGTTTTCTTGTGCCAAACTGACACCTTTATTACAGAGTCTATAAACAAAACAGGTACTTAAAAACAGGTAGTTAATTATATTCTATTTTTATCAATGAAATTTAAAACACTATTAATATATTGATCAAATATGAATAGGTCAAGGTGTATGCATGCACCAACTTCTTCACCTGTGCCACCCTAACAACCAAAGAAACTTCTTTGATTCCACATCTGATAACTGATATTTTACCCAGCTGAAATAATAGAAATAACTGGCAATGGGGGAAAGTTCCGATATGTCACGCGACGTCAAGTGACATCGCGAGTTTGATATGTCTGTGATAGACCATTTAGGACCTTTTTCATAGTCAGCATTTCTGTTTCAAGATCTGAGCTCACTACCTCAAGGTAACACATGCAAAGCTAGACTATGAGCCTGCAATGGCAACACTGTCAGGTGTGAAGAATATATAATAATTCTTTCAACAATTCCTAGGAGGAATGAGGGAAAAAAGAGTCCTGGACTAGAGTGTGGTCAATGCAAACACTCTGGGTCTGACTTGTAATCTACCAAAATAAATCAGAATAATGAAAACGTAACTGCATTGCCAAACATAAGGTCTTTTCCATTTAACAATTTTTAAAAAGTATATTAATGAGGAATCAATAACTTTAAAACAATCAAATTGTTCCTGCAATGTTGTTATAAACAGATCCTAGCCACAGATTACTAAAGTAAGAATGACCATTCCAAAAAACAGACTATTTACCTTAAATAGAAGGCAAAGTTACTAAATGTTATAGTGAGTTCCCAAATTTGGGAAGGAAGTGAAAGGTACACCAGTCTGTGCTTTCCTATCTTCCTCCAGTTTAACAAAATAATATTGTTCTTTCTCCAAAATCAGTGATAATTATAAGTGCTGAAAAGCCTCTTTTGAGAGCTCTAATCATTTGAACTCCATTTCATATGAACCCTGAAACATACTATGCATACCTCGTTGTTAAAACATCTTTACATTATTATTCCAAACAGACCAATTTTGAAATGAGAACAATCCAGGATTTTTGTGGCGGAGGAGTAATCCGAAATAAATTCAGATGAAGTTATCAAAGCCACAATCAGAATAGTTATATAGGTAGCATGCTAACATTTCACATTAAATGAAAATAGCCTTGACCTTATGAGCTTCTCTAGTTCTGCTGTATTAGCAGTTTCTCTCTGGTATAATGCCGGGCATTCAGAAGGTACTTTGGCCACCAGTTCTTCTATGAAAGCTAAGACATGACAAAATCCTTCAAATGATAGACATTCTCTGCAGAAATAAGAAAAAATGCATTTCATGCAATAGCAAGAACAAATTGTTTAACAATCTACTAAAATATTGATATTAAAATAGGGCATAGTAATATAAATGGGGTAGTAGAAGCACTTTTGCTGTATTTCATTGTATATATGCCCTCTCTGGATTATACCAAGAAGCTGAGCTATATCATCTGAAAATACTTTTGCTCATCCCTTTTTTGTGACATTTAGATAGGGACACAACAGTGTGATAAATGTTGTATGAGGCAACATTATCATATTGTGTAGGGTTTATCTTCACGAGCAGCAATCAACAAAACAGAGATAAGAAATTTGCAATGTGAAACTGGCATCGTATATACTGGGAATCCCTAAATGTCAAAGAAAGAAAAAAGAATGAAACATACAAACCTGTATCAACCATAGCTCAAGTTTTCATGTCAGGATTATATATCATAAGTTTGCAGAATTCATGTAACTAGTAAAACATTGCCCTGGTTTGGTGTATAAAAAGTTCTGCTAGACTATTGTAGCACAAGTAATTTATCTGATAATGTTTATTTCTATGTGTAACATGATTAGCAAAGAAATGTAATAAATTTTAGAGCCACATTTGGCCAATAGTGCAATGACATTGCAAACTTTGTTTGAAGCAGCTCAGCATTTGGCTATTTTTAATTTAAAACAACCAAAACGTATGATAACTATGTGAATGTAAAAAGCTAATGGGTCCCTACAGGTGGAAAACATAACTGCGATTTATGGGGAATTATAATAATGGGATGCCTCTATAATGATGCAAATTAAGATTTAAACATTTTACACAATGGAGTATTGCTAATCCTTTTATAGAGGTGTAAATAGCTATTCAGATTTTTATTTCAGACTGCCAGCTTTGTTCAAGCAGAACTCTATAAAGCAAACACACAGCTGGCCTATAAACTATAGTACAAAAACTATATTCAGAGATCCTACCAAGCTTCTAAAATATTTACAACTTTAATGCATAGTGTGCACGATTCACACAGCACTGTAAAATATTTAAGTTACTGAAAATGATTCCCATAACAGTAAGGGTGAACACTGAAAAATGAAGGTGGTGTGGGAGTGAAGTTTTGAGTTTTAAACCAATACACACTGAACCAGTAAGAACACACAGGCAGTTCAACGGGGCTTTTCATTGCGCTGAAGTCTTACAAAATCTCTATTTCAGCTAGGTCATTCCCTATTGTGCTCCTCCCTCTGGGTGGTCTTTCCAGGGTGCCACTTGAAGGGAATACATTAATAAAAAAGAAGGGGAAGGAAAGGACACATAAATAAAGAAAAGCAAAATGGATGACATGATGCAGCAGGCTATGGATCAGGGGTCAGCAAACAAGGGGTCTTTCTCTTTACAGGTTGCTTCCTGGAAACAGTCTGATTAAGCTGACAGCTTGAATTATGTGTTACATTTTGTAATGCACAATCCATCTGTGCTAAGTCCTCTTGAATGCAGCTGAAGCAACACAAGCAAAAGGTCTCTGCCTTGTTCCTTCTTAAACCTAAGCTTGAAATACTCATTATTTTCCTAAGTGCGAAGTCGAAGAGTCTGGACTTGCTAAAGCTCTAAATGAAGCACAGGTTAGTGATGGGAATTGACAAAGGGCAAAACAAGGTTCTCCCTCAGTTTGACAATACTGACACATCAAAAGTTTTGAAAGATCATACACTATTTAATAGATTGTCCATTGATTTATTTCCCATGGTAGAAGTAGCAATATTAATAGGCCAATGGCTACATGGTAGCATGAGACTAATAAGTTCTCATAAGATGTCATTATGAGGCTTGTTGCTGGTTCCACTCTTAAATTTTAAAATAAAGATGTGGTGGTAGGATAGGATTCAGACGGATCAATAGAGGCATCTATGAAAACCAACAGCAGAACTTTAAAAATACGTGTGGAAAAAGCCCAGTGAACAAGATTCAGAGAGATTCAATTTAGAGAGATTTAATTACAATTCAGTATATTGTTAATGCTGCTTTAGGAAATGGTCTAGTTCAATACCTAATTGCAATCTTAAATAGTACTGACTGAGGGTGGGGGAATGCATATTTAAAATATATAAAATTATAACAACTTACATAAAGTGTTACTGTCACTTGCAACAGCATACCATTTCGATTGACGCAGAAAAAAATATAATAAAGGCTACACAGATAGTTCTCGACTTATGATCACAGTTGGGACCAGAATTTTCAGTGCTAAGCAAGGCGGCTGTTTAGTTAATTGTACTCAATTTTAGAACTTTTTAGCCAGGGTTGTTAAGCAAATCACTGTAGTTGTCAAGCAAATTGTGTGTTTTTCAAGCAAATCTGACTTCTTCCGTTGGCTCTGCTTGTCAATGGCTGGGCGGGAAGGTCACAAATGGTGATCACATGATCCCAGGATGCTGCAACCATTGTAACTACTCGTTGGTTGCCAAATGCCTGAATTTTGATGGTGGTAAATGTGAGGATGGGTCACTAAGTCCCATTTCTTTAATGCCATTGTAACTTCAAACAGTTGCCAAACAAATGGCTGTAAGTCAAGGACTACTGTATATAATAAAAGCTACATATATAAAGTGTTATTTTTATTTCTAAATGATATCTAGCAAAATGTAAAATACTAACTGAACTATGTTTTTAACATCGTGAAAGTTAATCAATTCTTTAATTCCATTCAACCTTAATTCATAAATACATTTGTTTATTCCATTTACATCTTGCTGCAATCCAAAGTGACTCTTGGCATGTCTGTCACAGTGATTCAGTTATAATTAAAGAGATTTAAGGAAGATTTAAGGAAGACGACATCCTGTATACTATTAATATTTTCAACTCCCTCATAACAAACCTGAAGTTGCTTGTCAACACATTATCTTGCAAATACAATTTAAAAGGGTCAGAAAAGAAGAAAAATAAATATAACCAGCAAGTAATTATAAAGTATAAAAATATACAAGAGCCACAGACATAGGTTTCATATCAGCTCTAAATATATTTAACTGCTAAGATTTAATGCAGTGGTTCTCAACCTTTTTTATGCCGCGACCCCAACCGGTCGTAAGTCGAGGACTAAACCGGTCGTAAGTCGAGGACTACCCAACCGGTCGTAAGTCGAGGACTTTCCCTGCCCGGGAGTGCCGCGCATGCGTGGTTCCGCCCCCTGCGCCGGCCGAGGCGTAGCTGGCAAGCGGCAGAGACGGAGCAGGCCGACCACCAGCTGGCCCAGCCCAAGGGAGGTAAGGCA